GGGGGGGGGGGGGGGTAAATAAGGCGTTTGAAAACTTTTTGGAGTTTGATCAAAACGGTGTTGGCAATTGTGGAAACAATATATAAAACGCAGGAATAAAAGCGTAAAGTAAGATGCACACTGATTTTATACTGGTTTGGGAAACCCCTACGCCAGTACCTCGAGGCTCCTCCTTAAGAACTTCCGAATCCACTAAGTCCCGGTCTCTTGAACTCCGTCAAAGCACCGCACTAGTTTGGCAAACAACCCTCGCCAATAGGATTCACTCCGATATTTCACCACGGCTATCTCGAACCGTTTACAACGAAGATTTAATGGCTATCTTCTACTGTTCCCCCAAGGATTTCCAAGGCTATCCTTGAACCTTTACCCAAGGATTTATACGGCTATCCTTAACCGTTACAATGTGAGAACTTAACGGCTATTCTTTCCCGTAAGAAAGTGTGCTTGAAGAACAGAAACAAGGATTCTACACAATGGCTTGAATACAAAAATGAAGAACAAAACTTATATGGTGTAGAAGGAAGTTATACTCTCTCAAAAATACAATATAAACTTATGAATATGAGAGTATACAACTAGAAACACAAGCTCAAAGTATGTGTTTAAGAATCAGGAATTTAAGGCTCTTGAAATAGCCAAAATATTGAAAATAATGAATAAAATAATGAATATAAATGGAGGTTGTTTGGAGCTTTGTTTCTTGTTGAAATATAAGGTATTAGGCTTGTATTTATAATGGAAGGTGTTAACTAGCCATTGGGAGGTCATTAGGGTTGATTAAATTCAAATTCAGCAATTAGGAATAGTACCTCCAATAGTTACGGTACCCTATCATGGTAGCTAGGTACCTTCTCAGGCCAAAACACTCTGGCGGTAGCTGTCCTCTTACGGTAGCCTTTCTAAGAAGGGGGTCCCAACCTAACGGTAAGGGGGTCCCGGGCTGACAATAGGGGGTACCTTCTCAGATTGAGTCATGGTACCCTTACGGTACCTAGGTACCTACTCACCGTTTTGATGATTTTTTCATTTTTGTCCAAATCCTTTCTAATTTTATTTAAAACTTTTTGGATGTTTGAAAATGATTATGAGAAGGTTTTAAACATATTTAGTGAGTGCTTTTGAGCTTGTGAATATAAGTATATAAAATCATATCCTTACAATGGTTTCTACCTATATTCTATGCTAGTTTAGTGTTTCGACTTCATTCTTGATAACCGAATAATCTTAATGGATTCTTGTTGTACCTGAAATACTTAAACAAACGTTTAGCTCTTATATTATTTGTTAACATCAAAACACGAGGCTTAGCAAACCAAGGCTAACATATCTCTCTCGTGATGTGGAGTTTCAATAGAATCAATTTCCCTACTCCCCCACTCCTCACCCAACCGTGTCACCAAACTCTCTTCTAAACTCTTCCCTTGGTGTCTTACCCTTTTTTCCGACGTGTTCATCGAATGGTTACTAACACGCTCACATGGATCCAACCTCAACCCCACCGATAACCCAACCCTTGCCCCCACGCTTGCATACCCAACACACGCCTCCAACTACCCATACCCACCCACCTGTCAACTAGGGGTGGACACGGTACGGTTCCGGGACGGTTCCGGTTCCGGAACCGCCGGTTCCAGTACCGCCACCCCATGGCACCGGTCCCGTGACCAGACCGGCCGGTACCGGTTCTGGTTCCCGGACCGGCCGGTTTCGGCCCCCCCCTATTTTTTTTTGCTTTTTTTAAAAATTTTAAAGTATAAAATTGTAAATTTGCAATTGTTTAAGGAAAGAATGAAATAAAAAAATCTAAAAATGTAGTTGTTATTTAAATATTGAAAATGAGTAATACACTAACTGACGAACAACCACATTTAATATCCTGACGGTTCAAAAAAAGCGACGAGGTAAAGAACCGTAAAGAAACCCTCGAAGGAGCTTATATATCGCTCACCTAAAAAAACTAATTACATATTTACATTAACATAAAAAAAATTTATAACTTATTCTTCAGAACTCGGACTTCCATATGTGGTTGCATTCATGTAATGCTCCGATTCGAGTTGGTACGATGACTCTTGAGCTCGACGTCTTGCCAAGAGCCAATCTTGGTTGCAAACCAGTGTTTCAAGAGATTCAGCGTTAAGACAACTTTAGTAGTCGGTTAGAATGTTGACGCCAGCACTGAATTCTCGTTCAACTGCTACGGTTGATACCGGGACAGACAACACTTGTCTTGCTAGCATGCCGAGACATGGGAACATGTGTTCGTTCCGCTTCCACCATCCGAGCACATCAAAATTGACGTCGTCGTCATCGTAATCGCATGGCACACCCTGGTACATAGCAAGTTCGTTGTGAGAGCTTACTGTTGTACCACTTGAACTCGTCGAAGACTGGGCACGCTTCCCTTTCATTGCAAGAAGGCCACCGACTATTCTGGAAAAACCTTTTTTTGATTTCGGGGGCGGAGGTGGTGCTGTTTCTTCTTGTACAGTACCGTATAACCCTTGATATTCCTTTAACAAATCCTCAAAAAGAGTTATATCATTATCTCTTTCATTTTTCCATTCTACTAAATAGCTGTAGTAATAACTATTTCTAAAAAACAACTGTAGTAATACTCAATTAGATATTTAACATTTTCAATCTTAAATCGTGGATCACAAATAATACCTATTTTATAAATTTTAGGAATGTACAAATAATAAGTACACTATTTATCTCTCATAGGAGAGACATAAGGGTACAAATCTGGATCAGCCATACTTTCACGAAAACATGTTGCGATTGTAATGCACTCTTTAAAAAATGTATTTGTAGTTGGTTGGTAAACATGGGAAAAAGTAAGAGTTGCGTTATTAAAAACTTCTAATACGGCATTCAATTTTTCAACAATAACAAATTCAAAAGGATTAATGATTATACGAAGTTCATCCTTAAAAAATTCAACAAGTTCCTCTTTATATCTTAGGATCTGTGCAATCAATTTGTAAGTACTATTCCGTCTAATGTTGATATCTCTGGCAAAACTTATTTCTTTTTTACCCTTAGACTTACAGAACATCTTCCAGGACCTCGAAATAAGACGAGCCCCCCAAATATTTTTAATTCCTTCTTTAATATTTGTCAAAACTCCGCCCATAGCTTCTAGTCCCTGTTGAACACATAGATTTAAAACATGACAGACACACCGTTGATGCAGAAATCTACCCATAGTCGTAGACGGTGGGCAAATTTCTCTAAGTCTAGGAATAGCAGCAGTATTATTAGTAGCATTATCAAAACCAAATGAAAAAACTTTTTCAGATAAGTTATATATTCCCGCAGAATACTCTGAAGCAATAGAAAAATATTTTCAGCAGTATGCTGATCATTGAAATCACGAAATGCAAGAACACGTTTATGCATAATCCAATCACTATCTATCCAATGACAAGTAACACCCATATAAGACAAATTATGATAATTTTCACCCCAAATATAAGAACAAATAGCAACACGAGAATTAAAATTTAGAAAAAAAATTGCCAAATTAATTTTTTTCATTTTATACTGGCGAATAATTTCTCGTTTAATTGTTTTTCTTGAAAAACCTCGTGCTTGAGGGTTTAATGCCTGTTGACAATAATCAATAAATCCAAGTTTTTCAGAAAACATGTATGGCAAATTTTCTTCACAAATCATTTCGACCATTTTTTGCTTATTTTGCTCGTCGCTATAAGCAAAAAGGCCGCCCTTACCTCTGTTAGCAAACCGAGAAATTTGGGTTTGCACTTCTTGTCATCCCTTCTTTTTCGCCGCGTATTTGGCGTACTCCACGAGATGCCTCGACCTTAGGTGTTTTTCCGGACCGCCATATCCGCCGGAAACTCCCATTTTAATGACGGTCCCACAATAATTACAAGTTCCATAAACTATGCCATCTTTTGTTTCTTTTTCAAAATGATAAACAAATAAATCTGATTTTAATTTTTTTTACCTTTGTCAGGACCTCGAGAGGTCTCGGGCTCACCTGCCTCCACGTCGACATCGTTGCTTTGCGGTGTAGGCTCATCGTCCCCGTCAAGATTATCCAGTCCTGCTTCATCAACATCCTCGAATAGACTATCAAGAATGGGGAGATTCGCGTCCCCTCTACCAGAATAAATCTGGTTGAATTCTTCATCCGTCATAGCGTCCCCGATTAAATGATCTGGGACAGTAGGAAACGAAGAGACGGAGTGTCTTCCTCGAGAACCGCGTGAGGTCGAGCCGTCGGAGGTGGCTTTAACTTTGCTTCTCCTCAAACTGTTCACGGCGCCCATATCCACGGACCTTCTACCGGACTCTCTCGACATTTTAATATATATATATATATATATATATATATATATATATATATATATATATATATATATATATATATATATAGATAAAAAATGAGTTTATTAAAAGACTTATAATATTAATATATATATGGAATTTCAAAATTATAATATTATTTTATAATAAATTAATATATGATTATATATTAATATATATTTATATGATTATATATTTATATGAATAATGAATGTATAACTAAAATTTTATTATTATATATTTATATGAGTATATATTTATATATTATATAATATGTTAATATATATTTATATTATTATATAAATATAAAATGTTTAAAAGATAATAAGAATTGAGATATAAGATTTAAGAGAATTAGAGAGGAGTAGGAATAAATGAGATTATGAGAATGGTGTGTTATTTGTTTAAAACAATGGTGTATTTAAAGTGTTGAGTGCCCCCTCCACCCTCCCCAAACCCCCCCCTCCCCTCAACGGCATCATAGCCGTTTGAGGGGACCCCCTCACGCTCCAATTAATTTTTTTTGCAGGACAGCAGGGAAAACCGGAAAAGGAAAAAAAAATTTAACGGTACGGTACCGGAACCGATACCGGGACCGCCGGTGCCGGGACGGAAATATTGGCACCAGAACCGGTACCGAAAGGGGCAGTACCGGTACCGGTTCCTGGTACCGGGTGACGATTCGAACGACGGGGATGGTGGCGGGTACCGCCGGTACTGGCGCCGGTAACGGTACCGAACCGGTACCATGTCCAGCCCTACTGTCAACCCTCTACTCCTTATGCCCATACCCACCTCGATCCCCAAACCCATAACCATACCTCTACTAATACCTGAAACAGACCAGCCCCACTCCATATCTCCACCCATCTAATTCGGTAGTATTCCCCAATCTTCCGTAAGCCCCGAATCATCTCCTCACCCTACCCTAGCTCCACAACCAGTCTGCCATCACATGACTACTCGTGCACATAGTGGCATTATTAAACACAAACTCTATGCTACATCTACTCCAGTTTCTAACCCACATGACACTGAGTCTGTTACCTATAAGGAGGCCTCCAAAAATAAGTGTTGGTATCAAGCTATGGATGAGGAATACCCTAGTTTGATGAATAAGCACACATGAGACCTCGTTCTAGCGCATGCACATCGTGTTCCCATTGGTTGTAAGTGGATTTACAAAACTAAACATAATTCTGATGGTTCTGTTTCTAGGTATAAAGCATGCCTTGTTGCAAAGGGTTATACATACACGTGAATATAGCTTGGACTGTCTAAGACTTTTAGTCCAGTTTTTTAAACAATAGACAATTCAGGTGGTTCTTTCTTTAGCTATTAACCATAATTGGCCCTTTCACGAGTTGGATGTGTCCAATGTCTTTCTTCATGGTGCTATTCTTGAGAAAATATATATGAACAAGCCTCCTGGATACATTAATCAACAATATTCACAATATTTGTGCCAACTGAAGAAGTCTTTGTATGGACTAAAACAAGCACCCAGGGAATGGTATATCAACATCTCTCTGGCTTCCTCCTAGATTATGGTTTTCAAAAGAATGAACATGATACCAGCTTCTTTGTCATGGATTCTCCACATTGTCATCTTATTGTCCTTCTCTATGTTGATGATATATTATTGTTATAGGAAGTGCTTCTTCTCTTATCACTTCCTTCATCAAGGCCATGCGGAAAGAGTTTCAGATGAAGGATCTTGGCCCACTTCACTACTTTTTGGGGCTTGTGGTCAAACATACAAAGGTCTGTCTGATTTTGTCTCAAAAAAATATGCCATAGAGATAATCCACAAAGCCGGCGTGGAAGACTGTAACTCCTCCCCCACGCCGATTCTAGTTTGGCCGAACGAGGACGGAGCCAAACAACCATTTTTGCAGTCTTGTTGGCTCCCTTCACTATGTGACAAACACGAGACCGAATATCTAGTATGCGGTTAATCCTGTTTGTCAATGCATGCATGCCCCTACTGAGTAGGATTTTTAGTCATTGAAGCAAATTTTACGCTATGTCAAAGGTACGCTTGACCGGGGATTAGTTTTTCAGCGTGGAATACAGGCCTTACAGGCATACTCTAATTTGGAGTGGGCTAATGACATGACCGATGGCTAGCTCATCACTGGTTACTTGGTATATTTTGGATCAAATCGTATTTCATGGAGCACAAAGAAGCATAGTCTCGTATCACACTTGTCTATAGAGGCCGAGTATCCAGCACTCTTATACGCGACAGCTGAAGTAATGTGGATATCATATTTATTTGATATTTTGAAGATCAAATTACCCCCTCCACATCTTTTCTGTGATAACCAATCTCCGATTTGCTTGACTAAAAATCTTGTGTTCCACAAACGCATGAAGCATGTAGGTACTGATTGCCACTCTCTACAGGAACAAGTTGTTGTTGCGTAGATGATAGTTTCATATGTACCCTTGGCCGGCCAGCTTGCCGATATCTTGTCAAAGGCTCTACCATCTCCTATGTATACAACTCTTGTCTCTAAGCTTCCACTCATTTCACGACGTTCAGCTTGAGAGGAAATGTTAAATTGTTATAGTAATATGTGTATTTATGGTAGTATTAGTATATTAGTCAGCAACTATATTAGAAAAATCCTAATTCATGTCAGGATCTCCATATATATATATATATAAAATATATATATATATATATATATAATATATATATATATATATATATATATATATATATATATATATATATATATATATATATATATATACACCACCATGTACTCTCATTATTCCTTGAGTAAAATCCATTGTTCTCTAAATCAACAGAATTTATTATCATTCATATGTTTTGATTGTATATCTAGAATTATTCTATGAAAGTATATTATAGACATCAAGTTTGTATAAGGATCTTATTATTTTAAGACATGGAATGCTTATTTTAATATATTAAGAAGCTTTTTTGGTTTCTTGGATTTTTACAATATTTGTTGGGAAAAATTATAGATTTTGATGATGATGTATTTAGACTGTAATAGGGACTTTAGGTCACCCCCAATATTCAATGTAATTTTCTTTTTAGAAATTCTGTTAAAATCGAGTTCTTGATATTTCCAATACAGCTTGTGATATTTCACTCTGTGGTTTGATGTCAATCTTTGAAGACTAAATCAAACTCAGTGATATGGAAATTGGAATTCTTTCTCGGAAATGTCAGAGACAAGTAAGGAATTCTCAAAGCAGTTGTTTACTTTGGAATTCTCAAATACCGAAATGCTCTAAGATACTCGGAAGTCTTGCCACAACCCACTGAAGACTAAGTCATCTTAATCAGAAGACTAGTGCGGATCTCTTTCTCACCCGGAAGTCTAAGAATGACTAATCCGGAACTGTTAGCTAAGAACTGGATGCCTCAAGGAAGACCGGAACTCTCAGAAGCAGACTAGTGAGAAAAGACTTAGAAAACTTCTAAGTCATGAATGAAGAGATTCTACCCGTTGGTAAGGAAAAATCAATTTCTTGATTTTCAACGACTAGATTGAGGATAATTAAGCTGATTCAAGAACAAATGACATGAAGACAAAGTCTGCATTTCTCAAATTGAATAGCTCAGTCAGAATTCTTGAACAAACAC